GCTGTTTATTTGATGCATTTTATTTAATTACATGGCATATTGAATATATAAAATGAACATTTTTATTATTTAAAGACACGTAGTTACGCTAATAAAATCATTTCAAATGCTATTTGATCAGGAAGAAAATTCAATCTTTATATTTAGTTATCTAACTGCAGCCCACCTCAATAAAATAATTTTTTTTTAGAATCATTAATAAATTTGCACTCTGATAAGAAGTTGTCATTCGATTAGATGCTTTCATTATATCGAGAGAGAGTTATAGTCCAACTCGAAGCTAACATGAAGATAAGGAATGTCAATAATCAACATGAACTTTCAATTAAGAGATTGTGCCAAACAGATTTTGAAATACATCTCTTTTACATTACATCAAAATCATTGTTATGATGAAAATTTCGTGTTATTTTTTTACCTAAGATAATTTAATTTCGTTTGATTTTATGGCTTAATCGATGCATTCTTGCTCAAATGCATTACCATCGACCTCATTAAAGCCGAAGTGTACTGAGTATTTTAAAATTCAATTGGTTTAGTAAATTCGGTAGATTTACTTTACCTGTTCCTGAATCAATTTGAGTCGAGTTTATTTTATCCATTCCAGAATCCAAAATTCTGGTTTGTGCATTCTTAATTAAAGTTTCAACGTTTCAGTTAATGGGGTTGGTTATCCGTGATTTTAAGAGATATGCTGTAATAAATATTATACATAAAATAGCTCATAATTATATTATCTTTACTTTATTGGACGACGCCTTCTTACACAATTCAGTTAATTTATAATTGAGAAACAAATTAGGACAGCTATACTATCAAATCAAAAGAACTACTATGTTATCGATAGCATTTTCTCTTATAATATAGTGGAAGCTTATTTTTTTTAATAGTGATATTTAGTTTGAATCTTATAATAGTGAACACGCATAATAAAGATTTTTTCTTGTTTGTTTATCGTAATAATTGCAAACATAAAAAGCAAACAAGAACGGTGCTATTTGTACGCATGCACATCTGATACATCGGCATATCTTAATAGATCTAATTTATGTGAAAGTGCATACTAAATTAGTCAGATGATATACATAAATATTTCACCTAACTTAATACATGTACATGTTAAACTTTTTTAATTTATGAGCGGCGGCGGCGTTCGTCGCGATAAAAAAAAGCTAACTAATCGCGAAAGATCTTTATTATCTGCAGGAGTAATTTGTTTTGCTCTGTGTCTGCCGAAGGTTTAAAATTCGTCCCTAATCTTGTAATCCTGTGAACAAAAACCCAGGGACATGCTATACCGCTTCAATGAAATCCGGACTTGCTCTAAAACAAAATAAAAAAGAAATAAAGTTTACGTTTGTATCCTCTCATTCCATTGGAGTAAACTTTACTCTCGTATTCTTTATGTTTTTAATTGGTCACAACAGATAAAACATAGAAAGTTATAGAACTTTCTCTTTCGAATTCGAAATCCAAATCATGAAAGGTTATTGACAAACGATTAAAAGTATCTATTAATAATTCAATATAAGTAAGCTGCAGAGTCGTTTCTTGCGAAAGGTGATATAAAATATGATGAAATATACTCACTTTATAGACTTTTTATATATGAACTTTAAATGTTGTCAAATATGCATAAGGCTTATCACGTTACCCGTATAGCACTACTAAAGTATCCTTCACCAGTGCGATCACGAAACAGAACGGGGCATAGTATTGGATAATCACAAAATGATTGGGGGTATAGTAAATGTACAACAATGTCTTCCTCTATTGAAACTAACTTTAACTTTACTTCAATTTATTGCTAAAACAATTGTTTTCTTTGCAAAAAGAGTAATTAAAATTCACAAAGAAAGGCTTTGAGGTCAAATAAAGTGAAACTTTTTTTTACAGAGAAGCATACTTTAAGAATGCTATATGGGAATAGTTTGGGTATCAGGTATGTTTATATTCCAATATTATTTAATAACTTTGTAATTCTAACTCTGCCTTCGACCTTATGAAAAGTATTCTTTGGGATGTTTAGGGATTTTTGGTTTTTTTGAGGAGCCGACAATTTTGCGAAAATTGTAAACAAAACAATTGATTTAATACACTGCCAGCATATTAAACAGAAGTGGCTATAACATTATAAAAAAATTAATCATCAATCTATTGAGGCAGGCTTACGATAACCGTTCTTGTGTAAATTTCGATTTAAGAATTTTATGATGGCCGTTTCTTGACCCTTGTCATACTACTTATGAGCAGAGGAATTTACGCTTGACATAGACAAAGGTATTCTGTTATTATACATCTGTTTATTTTTCCTTTTTCTCTGGATATAAGTTAATCCTTTGTTATTGTTCACTTTTTATAAGATGATTACTAGAGAACGATTGCAAGGACGAAGGTTTGTATATCCTAAGATAATAGATGGAAAAGCATTGGTACAAATGATCACGAATTCGTTCGACACCGTCTGTTGGCACTCAACCAAATACCAGCGTGGTGGAAATAGATCTAGACGAAACCACAACTATGTGATGATATAGTGAAATCACATTGAAGTACATGCCAACGATATATCTAGTGCCCTATAGCCTTATAAGGGAATGTTCGTTATATCCCCCACATCAGGTAACGATGGTTTAGTCCAGACTGGTCCAGTCTTTAAACAATCCGATTCTCATAAAAGCCAATCCAAGAACCATTAGTTTTGGACTAACCGATATTCTTTTCATTTTGATAATCTGGACCAATCTGGACCGGTACAAGACAAATAAGGTAACGATGGTTTAGTCCAGACTGGTCCAGTCTTTTAACAATCCGAACCGATATTCTTTCATCTTCATAATCTGGACCGATCTGGGCCGGTCTAATTTACATCGAAAAATAAGGTAAGACAGTATTCGTTACATCGACACGATGTTAGTCCAGACTGGTCTAGTTTTTAAATGATCTGATTCTCGTAAAAGCCAATCCAAGAACTATAGTATTGGATTAACTGATATTCTAGACAACCTGTTTACAAGACAGTGTTCTAAGCAACGGTAATCCAGACTGCTAGGACAAACCATCATGGCTCTAGAAGTTTTGTTGGCATATGATATCGCATCAATGCATGTAGCATATAGCATGTTGCATTGTATGTTAAAGTTATGAAATGGCGATAACGATAAAAAAAGTGGTAAATGCATGTATAATTAAAACAATATTATTTATTAAACAAAATTGAGAACTAAATAAAATTTGGCAATGAAACAATGTAAACTGA